AAAAAGAGACAAATCATCCCCATTTGAAAAATAAACCAAGGGAATATTTTGAGCGACAGCTAAAATCACTTTCAACAAGTAAAACCTGCATTCAGGTGCCAGATCTTATGAATAAAAACAGACTACAAGCATCGTACATGGTCAGTTACAGAGTGGCTAAAAACAACAAACCCCACACTATTGTGGAGGACCTCATTCTCCCTGCTGCTTTAGATATGGTAGGGACAATGTTGGGGGAAAAGGCAAAAAAGACGATACAGTCCATTCCATCATCAAACAATACTGTCTCACGGCGCATCAATGCAATGTCAGAAAATGTTTTACAGCAGCTACTTCTGCGCATACGCCACAGTGAATGTTATGCAATACAGCTAGATGAGTCCACGGATGTGGCTGGCCTGGCGCATCTTCTCGTATATGTGCGCTACATTCATGAAGGAACCATCAAGGAGGACATGCTGTTCTGTAAACCACTGGAACAAAGGACAACTGCCGCAGATATTTTTCAAAAGCTGGACACATTCATGAACACACATGGACTCGTGTGGGACAGATGTGTTGGCATCTGTACTGATGGCGCACGGGCCATGACTGGGAGACACGGAGGTGTGGTTTCGCGTGTGCAAGCAGTCGCGCCAGATGCCTCCTGGGTACACTGCAGCATCCACCGAGAGGCTCTTGCTGCAAAGGGAATACCTGTCCGTTTGAAACATGTTTTGGACACGAGTGTAAAAATGGTTAACTTTGTGAAAGCCAGGCCGCTGAACTCCCGCTTATTTGCTGCGTTGTGCAATGAGATGGGCAGCGAGCATGAGACATTATTACTCCACACAGAGGTTCGCTGGCTATCTAGAGGGAAAGTGCTGACCCGTTTCTTTGAGTTGAGGGATGAACTTAAAGTTTTCTTCAGTAACCATCCCTTTGAGCTGTCTGAACATTTGCATGATGAAGAGTACCTTACCTGCCTGGCTTATCTGTGTGATATATTTTCTCGTCTGAACGAGCTCAATCTCGGATTACAAGGCGTTTCTGCAACTATATTCAATGTTCAAGATAAAGTTGAGGCCATGATAAAGAAGTTAAACCTTTGGAAGAACTGCTTGGATACAAACAACACTGAAGTCTTTCCTGTGCTGCATGATTTTCTGTGCTCTAATGATCTCACACTATCTAAAAGTGTAAAGCGCGAATGTAACGTGCACCTTGAGGAGCTGGCGGTGCAGTTACGCCGATACTTCCCAGAGACGGACGGCTCAAATGATTGGATACGTCACCCGTTCACCGCTGTGCCTACTTCGTTATCACCGTCTGACCAGGAGAGCCTAATTGAAATTGCCACAGATGGATCTCTAAAAGTTGAACACGCTCAAAAGAACCTGGCGGATTTCTGGATAGGGCTGCGCACTGAACAGCCCGCGCTGGCTAAGCGCGCTGTCAAGACTCTGATGCCTTTCGCCACCACATACTTATGCGAAAGGGGATTTTCTGCTTTAACAAACATGAAAACAAAATACAGAGCAAGACTTTGTGTGGAAAACGATTTAAGACTCAGCCTTTCCCAAATTGAGCCAAACATTGAAGAGCTGTGTGCCTCTGCTCAAGCACATCCATCACATTAAATAAAGTTCTGTTTAATGAAAGTTCATGGCCTTTATGCTCTCGACAAAAAAGTGAATTCTAATAAATCCTTTGATACACTGCTAGTATTAAGTAGTAAAGTTTGTTATTAAAACTCTGTCATTACTAAAAAATATTGATAAATTCATTTGGTGGTGAGAAATAATCGACTGTGCAGTATTTATTTTTATGCATGCGATATTGCAATGTATTTATAGACACTAATTAAGAGTCGTTCGTAGTAGGGGGTATGCGGCTGAGGGTGACATGTCTCAAGGGGTACGTGGCTGGAAAAAGTTTGGGAAGCACTGCCCTAAGGTAAGAGCCCAGCTCAGGGATTGCACATTGCCCGACTAATATTGCACCAGCCCATTGGAAATCAACACAAACCCAGTATAAAAAACAGTTTTAAAAGCCCTACTATAAAACCAACCTGGGAGAAAAACACAACGAAAAAGAGGAGGAAAAAACAGTGACAAATTCACATGTGCAGCCTGTCCTGCAGGAGGCAATACAATATAAATTAGATTGTACTTTTTTTTTTTTATGTCAAATATATTAAGTTAACATAACATACATTGCAACGAATTTTAAAAAGCACTAAAAGAAAAACAGCCTGTACCTCGAACCTCTGCTTTGGAGGTTTAAAACAACCGTTTGTGTAGAAGACAAAACTTCTCAGGCTCTTCACCAACTCACACAACCATTGCTCACAGCCGCTCGTCAGTACAAATGAGAGAAGAAGAGCACCTGCTGCTACTTCCTCTTTTAAACCCTCCTTTGGGTCCCCTGGGTCCTAAAGCCTTCACCTTTACACTAATGTCCACCTACTGTTACTCATTTATATTAAGATTTAAACATCTAGTTGGTGTTGGTATGGAGAGTAACCTTCAGTAATAGTAATAAATCACACAGCAATAGTACATTCATGTAGTTGCAAAAAGCTTGATGGTATATTAAGTAATCCAAAGCATTCAGAATATGTTACTCTCATTGAGTAACGTAACGGAATACGCTACAAAATACATTTTGGGGCATGTAATCTGTAATCTGTAGTGGGATACATGTTAAAAGTAACCTCCTCAACACTGCTGTGTATCCAGTGTTGGGGAGTAACGGAATACATGTACCGCCGTTACGTATTTAAAATACAAAATATGAGTAACTGTATTCCGTTACAGTTACCGTTTAAAAAGGTGGTATTCAGAATACAGTTACTTTGTTGAAATAAATGGATTACACTGCGGTACTTTCCTGTTTCATATTGTCGCGGGTCAGGACTGTTTGGGTTTTGTTTGACAGCTACGTTCTGTTGTTCCAGGCGGCAGCGTTACGGTTGCCATGGTTACAGGGCGACGCTCTCTCTCTCTCTGCGACTGTGTGTTTCCTGGGTGAGAGAGCGCCTTTTCGTTGTTGTTTGTGCTAAGCTAACAGGCAGAATGCTACAAGCATAGCTCTAAAGAATGTAGCATCATGGGCAGTGTAGTCCGTGTTGCAGGGAGAATGGACTGCCATACACGTTATGGGTCTGTGAGCGCGAGGAGGGAGAAAAAGGGGAGTGGAAAGGTACGAGTTGTCATCGAGGAAAAACGGGAGCTGGAAGCATGTAAATATAATAATAACCACTGCAGCCAAGAAGAGTGCCTGACGAGCCCAGTTGTAAGTAAGCTATTAAGACTCGACTGTACACCGTGTTCGTGTTTTCCTCCGAAAACAATAAGTTCCGTTGGAGCAGTCTTTCAACGCCTCTCTCTGTCTCTCGCAAGAAAAGTTGACCCACACAACAAAGTAAAGCTATTTTTCGGCTACGAGCCGACAGGGACCCCGCCGTATTAGTCAGAGGTCCCTTTACTACAGTTCGGAGTCGCGGACCTTCAGTAATAGTAATAAATCACACAGCAATAGTACATTCACGTTGTTGTAAAAAGCATGATAATATATTAAGTAATCCAAAGTATTCAGAATACGTTACTGTCATTGAGTAACGTAACAGAATACGTTACAGAATACATTTTGGGGCATGTATTCTGTATTCTGTAATGGAATACATTTTAAAAGTAACCTTCCCAACACTGTGTGTATCACACACAATTGGGCATTACAAACCATCCCAGTCTCTTCCAATACCAGTCAAGGTTTGACACACTCCAAACCTTTGACTGGTAATAATAAAGATAATGGATTGGATTTATATAGCGCTTTTCAAGGTACCCAAAGCGCTTTACAATGCCACTATTCATTCATTCGCGAATTCACACACTGGTGGAGGCAAGCTACGGTTGTAGCCACAGCTGCCCTGGGGCAGACTGACAGAAGCGAGGCTGCCATATCGCGCCATCGGCCCCTCTGGTGCTGTAAAATGAAACACAACGACAGCATTAGTTAATATAGAGAGGGTTTGATATAAGGAACATGCCCTTTAAAGCAGTTCAGATTCAGCAAATTCTGAGTGCTCCAAACATACCAGCAAGTTTAATGGAGAGCTGTCCAAATATCTCTAGGAATGACACAGGGATAACAAAAATATAATCAACTTGACAGGAAAACCAAGGACTAAACTAAATGACAAAAAAGTAAAACCTTACAAAGAAATCAGAAAGACGTCATGAACTGAAAATGCTGCTGAATGATCCAAAACCATGACAGACCTCGGCACTTGCTGGAGCTGGGATTGAGGCACAGATCCAGGCCCTAGCACATCTATGACCTCTGGATAGCCTCTACTACAACTACATCATTAACCATGAAGAAGTCAACACCTTTCACTAGAAGTGCTTTACACACAGCTTCTGCGAAAATGCCAGTGGCTAGCTTTAACTGGATATGAAAGTGGTGAAGGGGTGCATGCATTCTACTCTTTCCCACACCTCTCAGCACAGCACTCGCATCACAAGTAGACATGATAGCTACTGGGAAGACACTGGAAAGAGTGAAGGACTGCAAACCACTTGCTTCAAGTAGTATAGTAACTGGTCAATGATGCTCAGCCTTCCCTGATACTGACACAAACCCTGCAGACATCTATCTTTTTGCACACAGAGGCCAACCAGGACTGTCATCAAGTCTATACCAGAGTCTCACTGTCTGTCCCTCGGTGTCCAGGCTTGTGACAGAAACAGTACCATCTTTCTACTTTGGTTCTTGAAGAATTATTGTCAAGAAGTTACTGGGTTACCTGTTTATCATCTGCCTTTCCATTGGCATCTGAGGGAAAGGCAGGTTTAATAAAACTACTATCGTGTGTTAGGAAAAACCCATCAGCTGCAAAGTGGTCACATTGTGGTCACTCGGGTAAATCTTATTGCCTTTACACTTCTTAAACTCCTCCACTAGCATTAACTCGTATACTGTTGCTAAATTAGTTTCCTTACAAGTTGTACACTACTGATCAAAGAGAATACCATTTTCTCTTGCAAAATCAAGGTAGGACTGACTTTGTGTCTTCCTCACATCCCAAAGATGCTGCCTATAAGTCTGAGGGACATGTTAATGGGCTAACAAGTTAGAGCTCTTTATGTTTTTATAATCAGGACTGTCTCTATCTGAGAGGGATGAACAGACACTTAGAAAACAAAAAACAGTTGAGCTCAAACTCTGTTTTTAAGCTGGAACTCCCTCTCATGCTTTGCCTTCTCCTGCTGAAAGTTTGGCACTATGTCAAAGATAGAGACATGAAAATAGTAGCCCCCCCATTTTATTTTATACTCAAAGACACTTTTAGTAGGCCACTATAATGTCAGGTTTACTGTTGTATAAGTTCCGCCAGCAGAGGGCGCTCAGTCTCGTACGCATCGGTAGCTGACCAGTGTTGCCAACTTAGCGACTTTGTCGCTATATTTAGCGAGTTTTCTTCTAAAAAGAGACTAGCGACAAATCTGGCGACTTTTTCTGATGTTATTGGAGACTAATTTATGACGACTTTTTGACGTGAAAGCGCGTATCGCTTTTACTCTCAACAAGCAGTGGTGCTGCCGTGGGCACCTCAGCCGTGCCAAAGCGCTCACGGGCGGAGGATAGTCCTCCCCCAGCTGCTATCAGGGCAGGAGACGTTCACACCTGTGCGTCCAAACTGCAAATGAATCGCGCATGAGCGAAGCTGCTGCTCCCGCACTGACTGTAACGCAGTCGGCCCATAAGGAAAAGATATATATAAATCTTATAAAGTTTGTATCTGTGTTGTGTGAAACTTGTCACGGCGAGTGAAAAGAGCCGTGTAGAAAAGGAAAAGGAGGATCCAAACGCAGGCAGTCGTGAAGGTGTAAAGGTGATTTATGGAACACAAAAGAGAGGCAAACGGCAAAACGGAGAACTAAACTATACTGGGACAACTAAACTACTGAGCACGAACACGAACCTGAACATAAAGGAAGGAAGACGATGGTACATGATGATGACGGCAGGGAACACACGGATGAAACATGGTGGATACGCAGACGGACCAGCAACTACAATGACAGAGGACACGACTTAAATACACACAGAGAAACACAGGGGAATTACACACAGGTGGTGGACACAGCTGGGAATAATCAACAAGACGAGACAGAGGTAAAACTGAACACACTCACATGAGACGCAGACCTTCACAATAAAACAGGAACAAGAAACCATCACACTAAGACGCAGACTCGACATAGAGAGACAGACAGAAAATGACACATGAAACTAAACCCACACAAAACATGAGAGCACAAATCTTAAACCCAAATAAACAGAAACATGGAACTCTAACAATAATAATAATCATCGCACCCAAAACCACAACAATCATTCAAAAAATAAACTAACAATCAAAACTCAAAATACTGGTTCGAAACTGACCCAGAACCGTGACAAAACTTGTATGAAAAGCATACAAGAGTGAAAACAGGTACAAGATTCCTTGAAAAATTATATAAATGAAACTTGTATGTTTTGGATACTTACTACACCGTAAAAAAAAAAATCCTAAAAAAACAGGCAGCTGGGGCGCCAAAATAATACCAGAAAATAACAGAAAATA